ACAACAAAAAAAATTCATATAACGGAAGAATCGTTAAAAATTTGATGGGTAATACGGTAATAGAATGGAGCTGCCCGATATTTCATCCTCAACTTTTGAATGGTCCATTAAATACGAGACTCAATTTTTTTTGAATCAACCTTTCCTAGTGGCCCAGTTTATTTTGTTTTAAATTCAGTATTTGCCCCATTATGTTACCGCTATACCCATATTTCATTACCGATGAAATCTAACACCACTGAACTTACATTCCTCTACAGGAGAGAGAGTTTCTGATCAAATCATCATTGACAAATCCAAATATAGACTGAAGTCCGTCAGGTCCAAATTTCGGTAGCTCAATATGTGCCTTAGAAGAATCATCCGTTTGGAATGGATCGCTGCACGAATTCGGTGTCGACGTTCTTGTGGTTCTCCAGTCATCACTCGTAGTGCTGAAACTGTATCAGAGTTCAGGAAACCTAACTAGTTTGATAAATTATTGTACTGCGTTATAATTTCTAGAAGAATTCAACTGTTCAACGCATAAGAAATGAACATAATTGATACCAATGAATAACTCATTCGCAATTACAACATAAAGAAATACTCGGTATCGAAGCTTGGCGTTGGTGAGACGGGTGGTGATAGCTGTTCAAGACATTGTTCAATGTCGATCTGTGGTGCTGGCGTATGAAGATATGAACAGTGATCACCATACGGGCATTCACCCAGTATACGATATTTCAGACATGGTGCTGTTCGGTAACGTGGGTTGTTGAACACTTTCTGAAATTTAATGATGAAAACATTGAAACAAGATGGTGGCTAGAGCCTGACATTTCGGGAAATTACCCGCACCGATCGGGGATTACCCCAGGCGCTTTTTATCTGTAAAGGATCAAATCGAATTATAGATGGATGAAGTCCCACGTGGACACAGACTTGATTTTGATTATAGCCTTGAAGTATGCAAACATTTTTCGCAACTGAATCACCTCATTCCGAGTTTCATCGGCGAAAGAATTCCAAGAACGCTCCAAAAGGTTCAACAGAAAGAATCTTCATGTATCACTGTACATCGATTCGTCCCCAACAAATGGATGACAACAATATAATAATAAAAAAGTTATTGATGTAATAATCCGAAACAACTTCAGTTAACTCACAACAGGCTCTGGTGGCGGCTTCCTGAGATCCTTTTCGCCATGAGCAAATTTGCATCTGTTTCCATAGTTACAGCGTCCCGTATCGGCCCACGCACGGCACGGAATCGTCTGAAAGCGGAATCATTGAAATGCTTAGAGAAGCTGCTTTCAACCAAACGCAAATCTAGGGAGTCTTTATAAATCCAAACATTCACATTAACCCATTTTACTCAAAATTTTAAGACGTAACCGTTACATTATCACCCACTAAACATCAAATATTTGCAATATGAATGAAACAAACTTCATATGAATATGAGTGAGAAAAAATAAATAAATTGAACCAAACGCTTACTTTGTGGGTCTCAGCTTTACGGCGCATTTTACGGTCGAGAACAGAACGTCGGTTGGAGCTGATTATGGCTGGAACCATTGTGGGTGGGATGGCGATGAATGGGGTTTGAATGTTTGGTGGATAGAATAAAAATTGAGTGGAAGGCCATCGTTGATTCGGATACATCATCATTTAGATTACTGTTAAGATTAGTTTATGAATGGGTACGATCCAGGTGGCTGGCTGATCCAAAGAGGCTGATCCAAACTGATTGACTGATTTAAACGACTGCAAATCAACCGACCGTCACAGATGTTCCCAGGTTGCGAAAAAAATGAAATCTCATTTACATAAATTCATCGCTATTTCTAAACATAACTCTATTTCTAGCACTTGCAATAACCAGCTCATTCCGTGAAAAATGAAATCAATTTAACAAACCAAATGAAAATAAACTATATCTAGTACAGAGTCGAATAATACCGTGACTGATGCAAATAAACCGATGACATACACAAGTAACTTGGAACTGAATTTTTTCCTTACTGTATGACTTGGTTACTATGTGAAACAGGAAAAAGGACGATGGCATGCGATGCACTCAGCGATTTAAAGGGTTGACGAAACCGCTAAAAGCGCGAAACGGCGCATTTCATTGCAAAATGGAATCTGACAAATCTGCCACACAATGCGATTCAATAAATAATCTCAATTTCACGCATTCCAAACGGCATCGCAGATTTTTACGCACCACTAAACGTGTTCGTTTTGAATCAAAATCGCATGGTTGTGCACGAACAGCTAATGACAGAGGAGTGATATGCGGTTATTCGCATTAGCGAGCGAAACGATTGTGAAATCAAGACGATATCGAAGGCTCATATTTGAATGGAGAATTTAAACTTCTGACATGCTTCATGAAAATTTTTAGACTTATGCAGCAACCTGACTAGGGTTTTGTTGAGAAATAGTGAAGCCGTTCACGCGTGCAGATCTTTGAGAGGTTCTAGACATGTAGTCATAATTTACTACAGCCATATAATCCTAAAAATCTCTTACATTCCTAGAATTTTTACCTATAATTTTTATTCGTTAAAATGTTGAGAAATTCATTCAGCCATATGCAATACCAGGTTTCTTTTTGGCTCAAACCCTGCACACAGAAAATAGCAGTGCCATTTCCAGATAAGTTCCGGGCTCTGGCTTATTCACCTAGAGAAAATGAAGAGTGAGTATGAAATGTGAATGACCGACTGAAATGCAGAAAAAGATCCGAGGTGCTGAATGGGTAGAAATCCAGTGCCGATTGGATAACCAATAACAGGGGACGATCAAAACGCGCATGCAAAATACGTTAATGACTGAGGTAAGATGAAAGAAGCAATGATTTATGACATCCATCCGTCATACACAATGTT